CCTCAGTCTTTCAGGTGATCGCTTTACAAGATATGTCCATACCAAAATTAAATTTGCATTTTTGATTAGTTAGTTATAGGAGAGGGTGGGTTTCCCCATGCACTGAGACCTGTATTGGTCCATTGTGCTTCCCTCTATGATTTCTACTAGTCTCTATATCCTACCGGTACTGGTGCTTACCATCAGTCCCGCCCAGCCAGCGAGACCGGTTCTACCAGCTGATAGATACCTCTCAGCTAGTAGAACCGGTCTCGCTGGCTTCCCCCATCTACCAGAGGAATTAGAGACTGCTGTTGGGCGGGAAACGTCCGTAAATTTGGCTCAGTGACCTCCTTTGGAGATATGAGGTTCTTTTACGTGCCGTAAAGCTACGACACGGGACCCACGGCTTTAAGTCCCTCCCGAGGACTTTTTCCCTCAATTTTTCCGCCCTTAAAAATTCGACGACCTCCGCCGGGTATTTGAACCCGCGTACTACGAGTCATGAGGTGGGAACGTTACCTCTAGACTACGGAGGCCGCTTGCATTTTTGGTTCCTCCAGCCTAGCTGAAGGAGCCGGGATAATGTAGTCGGTATAGCGACTGGCTACGGGCTGGACGACCGAGGGGTCGGAGTTCGAGTCCTGGTAGGGTCAAGAATTTTTTCTTCTTCGCGTCCAGACCGGCTCTGAGGTCCACCCCAACTTCCCATACAATTATTACCGGGGGCATAAAGGCCGGGGTGTGAAGCTGACCACTCATCTCCAGCTAGTGCCGAGGTTAAGAAAATGTGGATCTATACATCAACTTCCCCCATAAGTCTTCATTGCGTAGTGTTTAATCAGTGAAGCCCAGGGGGAACTTTACCATCCCAGCTGTGTGTCCATACCGAGGTTGAGGGTGTAGCGATCGAAGCCCTAAACATATCGGGAAGTGCTCATTTCGAACCATTTCCGGTTTTCCGGCTGTCCTGACTGCATTTTTCGTTACTTTCTTCAGTCTCCACAAAAATGCTGGGACACTACGTAGGAATAGGTCACAGTCGCTTTCTGCAAAGCCCATTATTACCAGTCGTGATCTAATTTGACACAATATAACTTGTACAGTTGAAACAAGATCGTTCAGTAATCTAGGCCGGTGTGACTTCCATGTGTCGGGGATTGTGTTGAACAGGTTCATCTTTTTTACTTCCGTTCCACGCCTTCCAGCCAGATGTGTTTTGATATCGCACTTTACTGCTTAGCTTGAGGACTGCAAGTGGGTTGGTTTGTGTGGACTCGTGTAGCATGTGTTGGAGTGGGCAAGGTGCCCGTTTGTCGGGGTGCCTGAGGCCAACTGTTGAACCAGGCTACTTGCCCGCCCGCCTATACGACAGCGCGGCTCCACAGAGATGCTGCTTGCTGCCACATCTTCCGAGCTGGGAGGAAGAGATAAAATACCTTTCCGCTAAACAAGGCGCCTTCGAGTTGGGACGCACAAAAAAGACCAGCAGGTGTCCGGCCCATACACGGCCATAGTTTATTGCCAAAACGATTTCCCACTGGAGAGCAGCGCCTTTTTGTTGCGCTCCAGAGAACACGCATCTATAGGAATGTATACTGGTCCAAGAACCAATGTACTGTAAATATATCCAAGACATCGTGTTTAACTGTATCTCGGTCAGATCTTTTTTAAACTGTCCAGGGTTGTCTGACGTTTGGCAAGGTAGGTCTGCTAAATGCAAGTTGTCCGTGGGTCGAGACCTAATCGCGTGGTTGTTTTATTTAAACGTTAACACCTGCATCTCGTGAACTACGCAGTATTTCCTGATCTGCTGCTGTGGTCTGGGTGGGTTTTGTGTCTATTATAATTTGATGGGGGGAGGGGTGCCTATTGGTTCGATTCCTCGGGCGGCCCGAGTGCCCGCTACCCCTAAGATCCTAGAGACCCAAAATGATTGGAGAGAGAGTACATTTTTTTATTGTTGTGATGTTCGTTTGAAAGTAGTTTTTACATTTCTGGGTACTGTTTGGCAGAGTTCAGATAGAGCTGATGTACAGTGATGTTTATCATCGAGAACGCTGTATTAGCGTAGTTTCCCATTATTAGATGAGAATAGCTCTATATATTAGCACGTAGTAAAATAAAAACAGTTATTGGTTGTAAATTTGTGGGCCATAGTGCTGTGTTAAAAGTGTGCAGTTTTCTGATGTGTAATAGGTATGAAAATAAAGATAAATTTGCTTCTGTGCTTAATTAAGCTCTACACCGTAAAATGTATGTGGAGTGGATGTAAAACTCCGCCATTATTGACATTGGTACTAGACGTAGATGAGTGGTCAGTGGGAATGTAGCCTCTGGTATGCGTTGAATGGGAGGCTGGTTGGGGTTCAGAGCCAGTCTGGGCACTGTGGAGTAGAGACAAATCTCTTGCCCCTACTAGGAATAGAACCCAGGCTGTACATCCCATAAAAAGGTAAAGTTGTCCCTGTGCTTAACTAATTAGGCAGTACGCCATGAAGGCGTATGAGGGAGTGGATGTATAGATCCACATATTCATGACCTCGGCACTAGCAGGAGGTGATTGCTCAGTTTTACGACCCAGCTGCTTTACCCCCGGGGAAAAAGCCCCCGGTACCCGCTAGATAGGTTGGGTGAACCCTAGAACCAGTCTGGACGACGTGGAGAAAAGAAAATTCTTGACCCCACCGGGATTCGAACTAGCCAGTCGCTGTACCGACTACGCTGTCCCGCCTCCTGAGTAATATTGTTTGATTAGGTATCGCAGTTGTTGGACACCTATTCCCATCACCCTTTCGAATGATTTACAGAATTTGTTGCCATTTGGTAGCAGTGTGATGGTGATATTAACAGATAATTCAATTCTGTGCCATACTTCTTTGCATAAATCAGTGAGAAGAGTCAGCACAAAGCTATCATTGAAATTGTGAAGAGACTCTCAAGTTAAACCAGTATTTTGAAACTCATATTTGATACTTATGCACTCTAGATATCCATGGATCTTCTAAATGCTGTGTCTGTGCACCCAGGGCCTCTGTCCTTATAAACCCACACAGCTTATTAGTGTAGTAGAAATGTATGTAGTTTGTGCTAGCATGCAGAGAGCATTCACTGACTTGCTGGCAATCATTAGCAGGTATGTAATATCAGGTTACTGTTGTAATTAACACAAATCTAAGTACACAGAGCCAGACAGACAGTGTACAACAACATGCCAGGTAAAGAGGTGGTTTGAAATGTGGATGTATAGTCTTGTTTTCACTGCTGCATCTCTTAATGATTATCCTTTGATTGTCATATCTTACACATTGTTTTTGAGGAATGTTCTGTATAAGTGCATGATCCCATAATTAGGCAGTACTCTCTTTTTCTTTCTTTCTTTCTTTCTTTCTGTTTTCCTTCCTTCCTACCTTCTTTCCTCCTCTTCATCTGTCCCTCAGTTACTCTGATCATATTGAAACACTGTATCAACTTAGAGATGCGTGAGATGTACTAGGTTAGAAATTGCGGGATTATTAATAATGAAAAGGGTGAAGTGCAGTTGAAAGTAGTGGAGGTAGTTTCGGAGGTGTATTGCCCCATTTGCTTGGAGAGACTCTTCAAATTCATGAGAACGTTCCCAGTCTTAACAAGTGTCAAGACTATATATTGCCCAAAATGTAAGATGATTGGCTGCAGTAACCTACCAGGATAGCGCAGTCGATATAGTGACTGGCTACGGGCTGGGCGTCCGAGGGGTCAGAGTTCGAGTCCTGGTGGGTGCAAGAATTTTCTCTTCTCCAAGTCTTCCAGACTGGTTCTGGAGTCCACCAAACCTCCTATCCAATAGGTACCGGGGCCTCCTTCCCTGGGGGTAAAGTGGCAGGGCCGTGAAGCTGACCACTCACCTCCAACTAGTGCCAAGGTCAAGAAAATGTGGATCTATACAGCCACTCCCCCATACGCCTTCATGGTGTAGTTCTTAATTAGTTAAGCAGAGAGACAACTTTACCTGTACCTTACTAGTCATGTGTACTGTTTACTTTGGAAAATCTTCAACATTACATCTTCCATTTCTTAAATAAAATTGAAAGAAGGTGAGGAGTGCCTGCATCTTAATCGGTTATTTGAACGTTCACATGTGGTATGGAATCTCTTATCAATAAAGCATTTGCCTTTGTTATGAATATGACTGTACATATGTAATGTCACCCTACTCGGTGTTGGACAAATCACCATCTGTGAACAGCTTAACAAGATAATGATCTTGCTCATTAATCACATTAGTTAGATGAGATTAGTGGATGATTGGCCTGCCATTCATTTGTGAGTGCTATTTCTACCAGATGTTGGGTACTGCCAGTCCTGAAAGTATATCCTGAAGACTACTTTGTTCATTTATGATTAACTCAAAGCTATAGTCATAGCTTTAGTCCATTCTTCATACATACATACATATGTACATACGTATTCCTGTTGCGCCCTCTGAATCATAGGGCATCTGTGAAATTCTTTTTCTCTTCAGTTTCTTAATCATACATATAATCGGTAGGACTTCTTGGACAAGTGACCAGCCCATTGCAAGGTCACTACCTACACAGGACAACACACACACAGAATAAACGTAGACAAACATCCATGCCTTGTGGGATTCGAACCTATGACTCTAGTGTTTGAGCTGGCGAAGACAGTTCATGCCTTAAGACCATACAGCCACTGTGATTGGCAAAGCTATAGTAGTATAGCGTTATTTATTCTGGTGAATGGGATCTTGTGTAGAGAGTTGCACTTAATACTGATATGATTACACTATTTGATACAAACACAATGACAAGTGGATGATCATATTTCTGAAACCATGCCTGACAGTATGTAACTCCTGCCACATCAGATAATGATGAATGCTGAATATGAACTTGCACCGAAAGGTTTACCGCCTTTCATCTGCTTGTAGATAATTTGGGGGCTTGTCGCATCAAATGAGCCATCTTTTCTATGTTTATGTGTATGTTCTGAAATCGTAATTATGTTTGGATTTACAGCGAGTGGAGTGGAGTGTTTCTGTGAGGGCCACTGCCCTGATGACAGGCCCAATGGAACATGTGTGGGACAGCCCGGTAGCCAGTGTTTCAGTGCGGTTGAGGAGGTTTATAACTCAGAAACAGGGTTATGGGAGGAGGAGCGAACATTTGGATGCCTGCCTCCTGACGAAAGTGGTTTCATGCAGGTGTGGTTCTGGTCCATGCATAATTGTAATTTAGTTAGTCTAGATGTTTTATAGACATCCATTGCAGTTTGAAGAAAATAATCGAAAAATAAAAATTTGTAGTTCATAATCATTTATTCTGAGTATAGAGGTCAGGACATTTTCATTTATATTTCTTTATAATTTTATGAATTTTGTAGCTACTGTTGCAGCTGTATTCTCTCTCAAATTTAGTCATTTCATTCTTATAAAATAAATGAAGATACACTTTCAGAGCTGAACATATTGTCCTCAGCTTAAAACCGAGTTCTGTGTGACTTTCTATGACAATTTGAGGGGGAACTGTACAAGACCTTTCTTTTAACCCCACGCAATTATCTAAATCCAACCCACTTCACCACAATCAATTTGTTAAAAGTGCCTGAAGAAACTGCAGTCATCAGTCTTGAGGTACATTACATTAAGCTGTTCTGGTTCAGTTTTCTGTTTGGAGATTGTATATAATCTGAATAAAATGTAGAGTGAAACAATAAATTTAAAACTTCTTACGAATTCGTTTTTCTTGTGTTAAGTTTTGTCATAAATTCTTATTTAGGTTCGTTTTTAAGAAGTAAAATAGTCAGATAACACTCTTAGTTTACGTGGGAAAGATATATGAAATGTATCAAATTATTCCAGGAAGATTAAACATTTTTGTATTGAATTAACCAAATGCTATAGTCAAGTGAGTATCACTTGCGCTTTATATTCTGGAGGCCCAGGGTTTCAAACCAGGCCCGAAGACTAGTTATTGTGACTGTTTTTTCCACAGTCCCTCCAGACAAATGCCAGGGTATACTTCAAATTAGGTCACCACTGCTTTCCTTCCACATCCTTACCAATTCATTATTCACTAATTATCATTCCATTCAAAGGGTGAGCAGTAGCATAGTTTTGTTGAGGCACTATGTTACAATATGGAAGGTCGTGGGTTCAGTTCCCAATGAGGTCATTGGATTTTTCGGTTGACCTAACCCTTCCAGCCTCACTTATGACCCTGGAGTTGACTCAGCCTCTAACACAAATGAGTACCAGAAATCTTCATGGGGATAAAGGGCGGCCAGGATGTAAGACTGACCTCACAGCCATATGTGAGCCAGTCGTCTAGAAAATGTGGAAGCCTCAGTGTGTCACAACCCTGTGGGCCTCCACGGCCTGTTACAGGGATAGCTTTACCTTACCATCCATTCAGTGCTAATAGTTTTGCACTGTTGACAGTATTGTTTTACAGAAATAAATATAGGCTATTTAATTTTTTATGTTATTAAAGAAACAAGATTCATTACTTTCACTGTTTCAGTTATTTTAATGTTTTCTGCGTTAGATTTGAGCATAGATTGAATGTACAAATGAACTGAAAATGGAAAACTTGTTTTGAAAGAAGGAGAAGTGAAAGGAACACAGAAATGTATTTATTTTTAAAATTTCTTACCCCCCTTTTACCTCCAGAATTTTTAGTCCTAGAACAAGGATAAAATATGTGATAAAATTATGCATATTTTAACAGTTTTTAAAGCAGTTTGACTTAGTATTTTAAATATATAAAAATCACAGTGTATCAAAAATAAGTCCTGTTTACATTTTGAGGTAGAAATTCATATGAGCACATTTCCAGATGTTTTGGACCCCCATGGTAGAACTGCTGTCAAAGGGGGTCTGGCAGAGGAGGAATTTATTCATATTTTTTTCCACCTGAAGGTGATTATAGAACCCGCTTCGAACACATTGTGGTATTTTGTATAAAAATGCTAAAGCAATGGACCAAGTCCCAAGAATAGCATTAAACAATGTGTCATTCCTTTATCAAATAACTCCATAACTTGATATAATGCAGAGAGAACTTCTGTAATCACAGCATTGTCTGTGAAACCTTACACACAATGCAAAAAAAAGTGAAACAAAAAATATAAAATCACTTGTATGAATCCAATCAGACAGTCTGAAGAAAAGATTTGAGGTTCAGGGCCCCTGAGACATTGGATATACAGGATGTTTCACTACTTTAGGGCATAACTGCAGGAGGTGATTTCCTAGGTCTTTGTGATCAAAAAAGTTCATATAAACATGTGTCCGATTCTGGACGGTTACGGAGTTATGACCGTTTTTTCATCCCGTACATGCCCTCATGTGAACCGCGTCTGTCAGCTGACGGATTGCTATTTTTAGCCAGCAAGAGACAGAGTGTTCTCATTATCTCGACACTTGAGATGTACCTAAGGCATGGTGGGTTGGTATGTCCGGCATGGTTTACAACCGAGCGGCAGCCTGTGTTGCGGCCGGCGGTGGCATTTTCGAAAATCAGCTTTAAGTGCTAATAAATTCAAATTAAAGGTAATTTCACGAAGTTAACTTTACATTCATACTTTAAATGTATCATGTATTATGCTTCACTACTTTACTTTACTTTATGTTTACTATTTTGTTCCGTTTATTGTCAGTAATCGTTACCTTCTATTCTGAGTTTAAGACAGTCATAACTCCGTAACTGTCCAAAATCGGACACATGTTTATATGAACTTTTTTGATCACAAAGACCTAGGAAATCACCACCTGCAGTTATGGCCTAAAGTCGTGAAACACCCTGTATACAGTATACTTATTTGTAACATTTGGTTTGTGTTTGTGAAGTTGTAAATGCAGTCCATGTTATAAATAAGTTGAAAATTATTGTGTACAGTTTCATCTCGATCAAATAATGGGAAAGACCAAACTTGCAAAACCAACAGATTCGGTTACATAATACTTTGCATGTGTAATTGGAAATACAGTGATTCCAAGTCATAATTGATTCAACATTCTCTTGCTGCTGGTGATTCTTATTGTAGAAACACAGGTTTTGACATGAAAGAATTGATCCTAAGTATCAGAATAGAACTAAGGTAGAGGGTTTGTTGCAGTGTTGATTTATAGGTAGTGAATATTCTAACACGTGTAATAAGACCATTTTTCTTTCCATAGTGTAAAGGTCATCTAGTACCCCACATGCATGGGAGGTCCATATCGTGCTGTAACTACACAAATCTGTGCAATCAGTTCCTGCTACCAGAGCCAGTAAGGGGAAGCACCACACCACGACCATCACTAAGTTATGATGACAGCATCCCCTATATCGCCCTCATCATCTCCATTACTGTTTGTCTTATCTTATTCCTCATCATAGTTGCGTGCGTTTATCTTAGGTAAAGTTCACAGTCTGATAGCCATGATGATTATTATGTTCCAGCAGTGAATATAACACAGTATGGTCATATGTATACAAAGTGCCATAAATATACTTGTAGATGTTTATATGTATTTTCATAGTCACTAGTTCATAATCATGTGTATTCACCATGTATGTAGTTGTAATCTGTATGCATATAAATATAATATTTTACTGTTATTTTTGTTTTCATCTGCTAACAAAAATGCGGTAATCAGGAGAAGCCCTTTGGCTATTTGGAAATGTGCAGAATGACTACTGGAAGAACATTATATTGCCTTGTAACAAAATAAGAATATTAGTGGTAGGTAAAATGTGTATCATTATGAGATGGGAGTTTTCATGGCAGTGAAGATTGGTCTTCTAGGTTATTTCTGTGGATATAGAAAAATGTGCTGTCTTTGTCTTCTACCCTGAAATGGATACTACACAAGACTGATAAAAATGTAATAGAAAAGTTAAAAAGGTAAAACTGTACCTGTACAACATATGGGGAAGTATGTACAAGTATAGATACACATTTTATTGACCTCAGCACTAGTCGGGAGTGGTCCCCTTCATGCCCCGGCTGCTTTACACCCGGGTAAGAGTCTCCGGTACCCATTGTATAGGAGGTTGGATGAACCCCAGAACTGGTGTGGACAATTGGAGAAGTGAAAATTATTGACCCTACCGGGACTCGAATTCTGAACCCTCGGTCGTCCAGCCCATAGCCAGTCACTATACCTACTATGCTATCCTGGCTCCTAAAAAAGTAATAGAACTAAATAAAAATTAACAGAAGGTCAGTGCTAATTTTTATCGTTTTTTTAGTTATGGTGCCATAACTCAGAAGACCACAGTGTAGATATAACATTAAGATAGGAAGAGAATTAAGATTTATTTGTGCTGTATTATGTCATTTGTCATAGAACAGTCTCATTGAAGTAGTGAAGCATTCATACTAGATTGATGTTTTCATTTTGGGTGATGACATCATTTTATGATGAGCTAGTTTGCGAACATATTGCAGAAATTAGCTGTCTGAATCTTTAGGTAGTTTTGTAATATCTCCAGAACGCAGAACAGAGATATCAAACACTCAGAAGACGGAGTCATCACACAGAAATAGAACATTGATTTTGGAATGACATGTCAAGTTTCTTGTTGTGAAAAATTCTTTTAAAATGTATGGTCTTACTTGATACAGGTATAAGAAACGTGAGGATCGCAGACAAATGTACCTGGTACAGACGGCAAGAAATTGTGACCCTTATCTGGCAAACAGTGGCACACTTCAGGAGTTGATAGATCAGAGTTCAGGATCAGGGTCTGGGTTGCCTCTGCTTGTAAGTACAGCAGACTACTTCTTGTTATGATGTCATATATTTAAGAACACAGAACAGTGATATTTTGGACTGCGGTTCAGTTCATATTTGGTTAGCAAAGTACTAATTAATTCAGATCCAAACTGGTTTATGTAGTGCACTGCCTCTTTTTTTACTATCAGAGGATAAGAAACATTTAAGATCCTTCTCCTAAACTTGTAAAAATTTCACAGTTTCAAAAAATAATTACTAATGAACCTTTTCTTTTATTGCTGGTGTAGTGGGACTAAGTCCCTTGTACTGTGGCCACTTCTGGACTATTGTACCAGCCGCAGATGATAGGTGAGGGTGATTGTGAAGCAATTGGTGGAATGAAGATTGGCAGGGGAAACCAAAGTACTTGGAGAAAACCTGCCCCAGCGCCACTTTGTCCACTATAGATCCCACTTGACCAGACCCGGGATCGAACCCGGGCTGCTGTGGTGGGAAGCCAGTGACTAACTGCTTCAGCTATGGTGCGGGCTACTAATGAACCTTAATGATATATATGAAATACCTTTCATTAAATTGTATGCTTATAATTTAATGTGACATTTGAGAGTTGTAAATAATTTAGCATGTCTTTATCAGCCCATTTTTATAGTCCTCGGGAGAAGCTTCACTTCCATTGGGTCTGTGACTCACTCTGGAAAACACTTTAATGGACAATGTAACATCATAACTCAGAAAAACCATGATCTTAATTGTCATGTATTTGTAGAGAGTGCATAAAATGATGATTAATGGTGAGAACATATCCATTTGCGTATCTGTCTATATCATCCTTGAAATTACTCAGTGATTGGTTATTATCGGAGTCTACACTGAAATTTATCAGTCAAATATAGTTTTGCAGTGAAATTTTCCCAGGCTATTGGGCATCCCAAAGTGGAGATGGTGTTGGTGTTTTGGAGACTAACTATGCCTGTCACCAAGTTTTGATGTGATGAGTGACATATTTGCCCATTGTATTTAGGCAAATGCAGCAAATGTCTAAGCCCAGTACCTTGACCAAGCACAGACAACTAGGGTGACAATAAGCAGCCAGGCTGTCAGTCTTCACACATTCTATTTCTTACCCTGCACAATCTGGAATGATGTCTCTGTTTCTTACCCTGCATAATCTGGAATGATGTCTCTCTTCCCTACCCTGCACAATCTGGAATGATGTCTCTGTTTCTTACCCTGCACAATCTGGAATGATGTGTCTTTTTCCTACCCTGCACAATCTGGAATGATGTCTCTGTTTCTTGCCCTGCACAATCTGGAATGATGTCTGTCATTGCTCCTTCTTCCCATTGTTCATGATAGCCATACTTTTTGGAGTATGTTGATATGTACCAGGATTAATTTAAAGAGTGTGTGCTGTATCTGTGTTGAAATTGTCAAAATGAGCCAGAGCTCAGTGGCTTCTTGTCAGGTTATTATACACATAATGTCTTATGTTCCTTACACACACCTCGAGGTATATGGAAAGCATGCATGGGGGACAGTCAAGATCTGAGTATTCTATTCAGTGCACCAGTTCGCTTCTAGGTAACATATACTGCACAGTATATGTTTATATATATAAACCAGATTGCAAGTCAGAAATTCATGCTTTCTAAGTACCCTACATTGTTACTGAACACTGCACATTTCAGTTTTCTTACTTCTAGGTCCCTCCTTTCCCATTTCTGTTTTTTCAGAGCAGTTGTGTTACTTCAGTCTTTACCCCCACTTCTCAGGTTGAGAAACATTTTCTGGTAAAGGCTCATTATCATTTAATCCAGGTTCCCTTTTTCTTTAACATGTTAGCTATATATAATTTTGTCATGGGTAGGGGTGACTGTTAACTGCCTCTGTTCTCTAGTGGTCAGCGTTCCTGGCTATAGATCCAGAGGTCCGGGTTCGATTACCGGCACTACCAGATTTTTTTCTGAGAAGTAGTGGGTCTGGAACAGGGTCCACTCAACCTCATGATGATGATAATTGAGGACCTATTTCAAGGAAATAGCGACTCCGGTGTAGGAAACAGATTATCGGTCGTGGAGATTCGTTGCGCTGACCAAGCAACACCATCTATCTGCAAATGTTGACAGTAAACTTTGCCAAGAAGCGGTGGTCGCTCAGTCAGTATAGTTCACTTGTGGACTAAAATCACGGGAGTTTTTTTTTCTAGGGGTGAATGTTAGATGGGGTTTGGATTGGATGATTGGATTTTTTTACCACACTTAGAAGTAATACAGCGCCACCCTTAATCTATGCACTTTACAGTTTACTGCTACAAACACTAATGTCCTCCAACTATTACAATCTCCACTATTTGTTTCCTAGCAATGGATTTTAACACAGAAACTATAACAGTCTCACTGAATTACACACTTCAGATATCACAGTACTAAAGCACACAAAGTCTTAACTTCACAGCCAGATCACTCCATTGAACTGCGCTCAATAATTCTGATGTCTCAGGTCCTCATTTCAGCTTGCCTGAGATTCTCGTTATATAGCTTCAGGGTGGCTGTTTCCTAACAGTTGCAGTGTTGTTATAGAGGTGTGTTTATCATGCTTTTGCATAGATACAGCGGCTCTTCTATTGTTGCATGCATGTTCATTTCCACGGGAATCTGTTTACTGAGTCATTGCCTAGCAATGATTGTGTACACTGGCTTTGCTATTCAGGTTTTCAGGCATTCTGTTAAATATTTTATCATGTGTATGCTGGGAAGGCTGTCCCATCTGGCCCCTACTGGCAAGTTGCTGTGCTTTGCGATATTTAAAGAACAAGTGAGTCAGTCTCTTTCATCACAGTTTTTTTTTTGGTCTTACTAGGTTTTTTCTTTCAGCAGTGTAACATAGGAGTTGAAAATTCTTGTCAAAAGTTGTGCCCCATCTGTGATGGTAGTCGCAGTTTATCACTTACTGTGAGACGGACAGAATATGCTGTGTATGTAGTGTCAGACTAACTTGACATTCCTTATTGCAAATATTGTTACAGGTTCAACGTACCATTGCCAAACAGATCCAGATGGTACAGTCAGTAGGAAAAGGCAGATATGGAGAAGTGTGGCTTGCAAGGTGGCGAGGAGAACGGGTAGCAGTCAAAGTGTTTTTCACAACAGAGGAAGCAAGTTGGTTTCGGGAGACTGAAATCTATCAGACAGTATTGATGCGACATGAAAATGTTTTAGGTACATAACTGTTAATTAATTCTATTTGGCATAAGAAAAAATTGCCTGATCAGTGGAAGGAGTCTATTATTATACCAGTTCACAAGAAGGATGATAAAACTGACTGTAGTAATCATCGGGGGATATCACTGCTATCAACTTCATACAAAATGTTGTCCAATATTCATCTCTCAATGTTAAATCCATATACAGATGAAATTATTGGGGATCGTCAGTGTGGGTTTCAATGTAACAGATCAACTACAGATCATACCTTTTGCATTCGTCAGATATTAGAGAAAAAATGGGAGTACGATGAGACAGCACATCAGCTATTCATAGACTTCAAGAAAGCCTATGATTCAGTTAGGAGGGAAGTATTGTACAGTATTCTGATAGAGTTTGGGATACCCATGAAACTAATTAGGTTGATTAAAATGTGTTTAAGCGAAATGTGTACTAAAGTCCATGTAAGTAAACATTTTTCTGATAAATTTCCTATCCAGAATGGTCTAAAACAAGGAGATGCTTTATTGCCATTCCTTTTCAACTTTGCTTTAGAATATGCCATTAGGCAGGTCCAGGGAAACCAGATGGAACTGAAATTAAATGGGACACATCAGCTGTTGGTCTATGCCATGATGTGAATCTACTAGATGGTACTGTACATACCATAAAGAAAAACACAAACTTTAATTGACGCAAGTAAGAGGTTGGTCTAGAAGTAAACACAGAGAGAACTAAGTATGTGTTGCTGTCTCGTCACCAAAATGCAGGGCAAAATCATGACATAAAGATAGGAAACAGAGGTTTTGAAAATGTGGCATAGTTCAGATGTTTGGGAACAACGATAACAGATCGAAACCTGGTTCAGGAGGAAATTAAAGAGGAGTAATGGTAATGCTTGCTACCACTCAGTCCAGCACCTTTTGGCTTCTTGGCTGCTGTCCAAAAACATAAAAATTAGAATATACAAAACTATAATTTTGCCTATGTATATGTGAAACTTGGTCTCTGACATTAATGGAGGAACATAGACTGAGGGTGTTTGAGACCAGTGTGTTGAGAATATTTGGATTGAAGAGAGATGAAGTGACAGGAGGTTGGAGAAAACTGCATAATGAGGAGCTTCATAACTTTACTCTTCTCCAAGTATAATTAGAATGATCAAGTCAAGGAGGATGAGGTGGGCAGGGCATATAGCACCAATTGGGGGAGACGAATTCATATAGGATATTGGTGGGAAAGACAGAAAGAAAGTGACCACTGGGAAGGCCAAGGTGTAGGTGGGTAGACAATATTAAAATGGACCTTAGAGAGATAAGATGGGGTATATTTTTATGCCAGAATTTCCTCAGGTTGCACCAGTATAATGGTGCATAAGTTCTGATAAGATCCCAAAAGTAAAATCAAAATCTTAACCTGGAAGAAGAAGGTGCTTAGAGACTTCTGAAGGGATGGAAATCTGATTTTTATTACCTGTTACAGTTGAGGTAAGCCACAGACCCAGAAGAATGATAAAGAAAATTGTAAATTAACTTGATAGTGCATACTTTGTAAAAGTGTTCATGATAGAAAAGCTCGTGTTACAGTCCAGTTCACTCTTTCCTCCTCCTAATGTAATAGAGTATAGTCAAGTGAAAAGCGCCTTAGATCTTTTAACATAGTAAAAGATCATGAAATATCATTTAAAATGTAAGTACCTGGAAAAAATTGGCCGGTTCCACTGTTCAGTAGTGTTTTAAATTAAATGGGTGAAGGGCTTGATTTAATTTTGTTTGAACAGGTTTCATTGCAGCTGATATCAAAGGCACAGGCTCATGGACACAGATGCTCCTAATCACAGACTACCATGAAAATGGTTCATTACACGATTATCTTCAGACACATGTGCTAGATCTGTCATCACTTCTCCGTCTTGCTCTTTCTGCTGCAAGTGGTGTGGCACATCTTCATACTGAGATATTTGGTACCCGAGGCAAACCAGCTATAGCACATCGTGACATCAAGAGCAAAAACATACTGGTGAAAAGAAATGGCCAATGTGCTATTGCAGATTTTGGGCTTGCAGTCAGATATATCAGGTCAGTGTGAAGGTTTGTGATGTTTGTATTCGATTTGAACTTGTCTAACATATGTTTCAAAATGCGACTGACTGAAGGTAGATATTATCCAGAAAATTCATGTGAAATGTGCTTACTGTAATCAGTAATTTAAATGCTAGGAGTTAAAATATTATCCTGGGCTGAGATAGTAACTGGGTCATAGGACAGAGTTTAAGTTATGGCTGGATCTCATATAATAGGTGTTTTTTTTTTCTTTACACTACAGCCCCAGTGGGCCTAGGCCTACCTCCATGAACTTCTCCATTCACTTTGGTTTTTCTAGATCTTACACATACAGTAGGACTCCTTGGGCGAGTGATCAGCTTGTCGCAAGGATAATAGGTGTTAGTACATGATAACTAATGGTGAATGACTTTGATCTAATTTTGATGGTACCAGATTTTTCATTTTGTATGCTTGCTATGAGCAGAACATGTCCAAATTCACCAAGCAGGTGGGTGTTACCATAACACTGGACTTGTATTTAAGAGGTGTTCAGTTCAAATCTGAGCCAGGGTACTGGCTATCCTGTTTGTATTTTTTATGGATTTCTTCAGTTCTTCCGGGCAGATTCCAGGATATTGCTTTGAATAGGCCATGACTGCTGCCTTCCAAATCCTTTGCACTTCATCATCCTTCGATTTGAATCTGTATAATATGGTTATTAATTGTGTCAGTGAGGTTTTCATAAATAAAGTTATAAAAGTCAGAATTCAAGTACAGAGGGCTTCTGCTCTAATACATCAGAGGACGTCAGTCACAATTCTGGACACTTAAGCAGTGATACTTTGGAAGCTGTGATAACTGTATCTGGATGATTCAGGCATTTGTATTTGCAGTCCACTGAATAAATTCTTCAGCTTTTAAATTATTATCACATAGTATATGTGACTTTAGATGGGGTTTGTATTGGTGAATAGATTTATTGACCACTTACAAGTCATAACTATGAATAACTAGAACGCTACTGCTATTTCCACACTTTGCAGTTTACTAGAACACATTGTGTAGTGTTCTCAGTCTGTTACTAGACGTTTCCTCGTAACAGCTCCAACATCGACTATTCCTCTGCTTCCAGCTCAAGTCCTTTCTTCACAGACTCCCATATGGGACTGACTAGGCTATAACCTTGTCCCTTGCTTACAAGTGTAATGTTGGCATGGACAGCATAGAAAACACAGCTCTTCTATTGTTGTGCCATTATTATATTCATGTCTGTTGCTATGGGGAAGTGTTTACCCAGCTGTTGCCCAGAAAGGGCCCTGGTATATCTGTCCATCTCATGATCATTGCATGGCACCAGCTCCTGCACACTACATCACTCACTCATGGAGCTGAGCCCTTCTTGAGAAGCTGCCAATTGTGCGGCTACTCAGGAACTTCCCAGCATTTTATGGAACCTGAAGGTTCATGACTGTTCACAAAAGTCCTCCACCAGTTCCTATCCTGAGCCAATCCATACCATCCCATCTTATCTCTCTAAGATCCATTTTAATATTGTCCACCCACCTACATCTTGGTCTTCCCACTAGTCTCCTTCCTTCCGGCTTTCCCACCAATATCTTATATACGTTCCTTCTCTCCCCCATTTGTGCTACATGTCCTGCCCATCTCATCCTCCTTGGCTTGACCTACATGCTACATTATCAATAAAAATCAATTATAGTGCTAAATTTTTAGAACTGTTTAGCGATATAAATACAAAAGACTACAAATTTAAAAAATGACATTTCTAATTTCATATGTATTGAGAAGAAATAATTTCTGCTGCAGTATAATTTTCATGTATGATGCTTAATTCCCACCATTGTTGTCAGAGTTTTCCACCTCTGCCTCTAGGAGACATGCTAGCAGGTTAGAATACAGGATATAACAAGAGTGATCCAATCAGTGCTGCCATTGTAGTAAGTCTCCCCCCCTTAAAAATCCAGTCAGTGTTGGCACTGTAAGGATTGAAGATGGTTTTAAAATTTATAATCAACGACCAATAACACACACAAAATCAGAAATGTTGACAGAAGAAGAAGAAGAATAGTTTTTTTTTTTTTGATGGGTATGAAACTGGGTCTGTTACATTAAGGGAAGAACGTAGACTAAGGGCATTTGAGAACAGGATGCAGAGAGAATATTTAAACTTATGAGGGATGAAGTTAACAGGGGACTGGAGAAAATTCTGCAATGAGAAGCTTCATACTTTGTTCCTCATCAGATGTTGGATTGATAATATTGTCATATGATGGAGTGTGACTATAGACAGATTTTGACCAGATTTATTGGACTCCTTGACACAGCACAGAACTACACTTTACAGTTCACTGTTACACACACCAGTGTCCACATTCACATTTTCACTGCCATTACTTGGTAGAAACTTCCAACTGTGGATGTTCCCCTCCCTATAGTTAACTTGTCCCGCTTATAACCTCTCGGCACGGACTGCATAGAAAATGCTGCTTTGCACAGTTACTCCATTCTTGCATTTGTGTTTGTTGGGGTGACCACATCATCACTACTGAGCCATTGCCTAGCAGCAACTGTCTCTGCTGGCTTCACAGTTCTGCCTTAAGCAAGTATGCCACAATATGAAGGATGGTGGAGCAGGACAAGTAGCATATATGGGAGAGAAGAGAAATGCTTACAATGTTGGTGGTAGGAAAAGCTGAAGGAAAGAGTTGGCTAAGGGAACCTAGGCCTAGATGGGAGGATAACATTAAAATGTTCCATAAAGTAGTAGTATAAAAGGGTTCATCTGGCTTGGGATAGGCACCAGTGGCAGGCTCTTGTGAACACAGTAATGAACATTCATGTATCTTAAAATTCAGGGAATTTCTGGAGTAACTGATGAGCTATTAGTGTCTCAAGGAAGACTCAGCACCACAAAATTAGACTGTTATTATGCTAATATTTTTATTATAATCATTTTACAGCTGATGGGTACTGTATTGTTTGTCCATTTCAGTGAAAGCAATAAAATTGATATTGCATCCAACACACGGGTTGGGACACGACGGTACATGGCACCCGAGGTACTGGATGAATCACTAAACACATCTGCATTTGAGTCATTCAAGATGGCTGACATGTACTCTCTTGGCCTGGTGTTTTGGGAAATGTGCTCCCGGTGTGTGACTGGAAACAAACTTATTGCTGCTGATGATTATCGTCTCCCATACTTCAACTGTGTACCCAGTGACCCTTCCTTTGAAGATATGCATGAAATAGTGTGCATGAAGAGGATCCGCCCCCACATACCCCCAAGATGGGAATCTGATGAGGTAGGAGAAGCATTGTTTTGTTGTAGCATACTGTCATTGTGAGGTTTATCGGAGTATATTAATGAATCGGTTGTAACTTTAATGAAATTCAAAACCTTTTCAGGCATAGTCTTAACCCACAAAATGTATTTCCTATGGACATTATCACCACCACCACCACCATGACTGTGACCAAAATGATGTGATCACGATCAACCACCGTAACAATGACTGTAGCCACCAACATGATTGTCAGACTCTACCATTTTTATTTTTCTTCCCATGAGGTTTGCAGCAAAGGAACCTGGTGATTTCTTAAATGTGTTACGTTTACAGCCTTTGAGGAAGACATGGTGGCAACGATGTTATTTACTAGCTTAACTGATGCCATTGCAGTAGCTGTGGAGCAGTGACATGCGCAACATCTTGTGTTTAATGTTGAAACATTTTTTTTAATGGTGGCCCTGTTGTTGAAAAACAGTGAATATTTTGCAAGCATTTCTATTGCTTGTCATGGAAAAATTCCTTGCTGCAATACCATACAGTTAAGGGTAGAAAACTTCAGAATGGGTGCTTCTGCATTAAAAATGAAAGTACCAGGCAGTGTGCATCCAGTACAGTTGCCACAGAACATTGAGGCTGTGATGTCATCATTCATAAGGAGTCCTAGGCACTCAGCCAGGGGACAGTGTTTCTTGTTAAGGTAACAAGGAAAATAGGGAGGGGTTCCACATGAGTTTGTCTGTTGGGTGCTCTTCAAGTGGTCATCATTTGCCTCACGATGTTGTTTAAGCCTAAGTCCTCAGAGCTGTTGGAAATATCTTCCACTGATGTGTCTGGGGGAAGATGACAGATTATTGCCTCTGTAGTCTTTTAAGAATTTGGGCAGAAGGTAAAATAGTAAAATAGTGGAGACTATTTTTCTTCAGGTAGGATTTCATTGCCGGATAATCTGCCATTTCTTTTGTTATGATACTGGTTTAATTTAAGGAATTCGGAACTCATACTCTCCTCTGACTTTGTTTCCCAAGTCTCTTTTGACTTGAACGACGTTTGTGGTAGAAGTTGTCATTAATTGTGGTGCCCTACCTGGTTCTGGTAGTGTGTTCTCTACACAAGTAATCTCCATGTCCATGTCAGTAGTTAGGAGATGTGTGAGGAAGTTGTGAGGTAACACTGCTTTTGGAGTCAGTTTGACAGCTGTGGATGCTGGGACCGGTTTAGTCAACTTCTTGGCTGTCTGTGAGGTATTATTAGAGATATGCCTCTTGTGCCTATCTACTTCCTAGAAGTCATCCTGGACCACTGATTCCACTGAGGCTTTGTTCACTGCACCACTTTGTCCTGCCTGTGCATCAACCTCAGGACAGCCTTCAGTTCATTCAGTTTTACTGCATACATGTGGTAAAGAGCACTAAAAAGTGACTTCCCTTCTAGAGCTTTGCAAACGTTTGCTCTGTTCTCCTCCGCCCTATTCACAGTAGAGGTTCACTCAGATCTTTCCCCCACTTTTGCCAGTGTGCACCCAGCACGGTTCTCAATATCACTGAGCATTTTATATACTTATTGCACTACAGTAGCTGCTTCTCAGTATTTGTTCATGATAGTGTGACATACAGATTCTGTGTTCAGTATTTCTGGAATCCCAGTACTGGGTTGTATGCCATCTTGGTGTATACTCAACTTTACTCCCTGTTTTGATGTTTCTCATGGCACTGCACATACTTGCGGCAAGGGGCAAACATTCATTCATTCATTCATTCATTCATTCATTCACTATTGGAGGGGGTGAGTTTCCCCATGCACCGCAACCAGTTGTTGATCTAGTGTACATCCCCCTTTGATATTCTACCAGTCGCCATACCCTTCCGGTACTGGTGCTCGCTATCAGCCCCGTTCAGCCAGCAAGTTCAGCCCCTCTACTGGCAGTGGTACCCAATACTTCCCCCATCTACCGGAGGCATTGGAAACTACTTGGGTGGGAAACTTTTTTTTACCTCATTTTGCTCAGAGGTCTCCTAGAGACATGAGGATCTTTTATGTGCCGTAAATCTACAACACGGGACCCATGGCTTAAAGTCCCTCCCGGAGGACTTGTTCCCTGAATTTTTCCACCCTTAAAAATTCCACCTTCAGTCAAGAGTGGGAACGTTACCCCTAGACTACGGAGGCCACTGAGGGACAGACTTCATCAACAGAACCTTCATCAAATGGGAGTTGACCTTGAATGCACTACGTAAACTGACGTCTCTATAAACCACTCTGTCCAGCACACATTTCATTCAAATCACTAAATCCAATGAAGACCTGGTGTAGCCAACTTACTGTCTGGTTGTGAACTTGGTATCACTTGTCCTCTTCTTTTCTCATTCCTGCTGTTAGCTGACTCACACACTCTCCTGACTCATCCTCTACTCCCCATCTCATTGGCTGCTAATGGCAGCTAGCTCTTGTTATATTCACTGTGGACCATGCAGAAAACCGCTTACAGTAGTTCCTCCATTCTTGCATGAGTGCATTGCTTAGCAATGGATCTGGTATTGTTGCATGCTTATGAAGTTGTTACCTAGGAACGGGCATGTCTGCAGATATGCCCCAATATACTGTAGTGGTTTCTAGGCCTTACATATACGTATGTTTAGCTGATCACTCTTGATTCCTTTACACTTCCCTTGTTTAGCAAAATTATACATGACTTCACACTATGCCCACAGTAATGTTCCAAGAAGTTCTTCTTGAGTGTTTAGTTCTTTCAGACTTTGAGAGATTGTCTCTATTTCAAGGCTAGATATAACTCTAATTATTGTGTATAAAACTTTATGCTCTGACTTCAAAGAACCAGTTTCTGAGGTGGAAGTACCTGTAAGACAAATTTGGTGCTGCCCACATGAGGATGAAATTTGTTAATGCTTGGATATTTTATTTCAGGTTTTGAGGACGCTAGCAAAGGTAATGCAGGAATGTTGGCATCCAAACCCAGCAGTAAGATTGACAGCACTCAGGGTAAAGAAGACATTATGTAAATTGGATGCAGATAATACAGTGAAAATTGTCTAATACCGATGAAAATAATGTAGGGGGTGTGCATGCAAGATTTTTCACAGACAGATGTAAGACTCCAGTTAGTGAAAAGTACTGTTTACTCAAGCAAGTGAAAATACTCATTAAAAACGGAATGCTTAATGTAGTATGAAACACATTGTGCAGTAGTTAACAGAGAATGGTGTTTTGGACAAGTGAGTTTTAGTTCAGTGACTTGATTTACATGTGCAGGAAGAAGTGACATGCTGACAGCCATGAGATTGAAGTGGTTGTGTTTTCAGTTTTGTGTAACAGTTAATATTGATTATGCAGTGAAATCTGGGTTTATGTCCCGCTATATACATTACAAGTTTGTAGAACAAGAAAACCTTTTGGTGGCCTTGGTAACTATTGACTGTGGGACATTGGTATATGATCATTTATTTGTTTGATACATGAAGCAAAGACCCTTGTGTTAGATGACAATGTAAATAAGACTAAGAATAACAGGTGCCTAAGTTATGTTAATGCTGTGATCTCTTACTTTTTTCCCAGTGACTTTTTAAAACCTCTAAATACATTTTGGGATTGATTTGACCCATTAAGGATGAAACTATTAGTGTTTGTGAATATTTTTATATGCAATATATGCTGGGAGGTAATTTTTTCATTTTAATTCAAAAAAGAAATACTGGTTTCGAAATCATCATAGAAAATTATTTTATGTTAGTAACAAGGTATTTAAACCACAGCAGTTATTGATATGACCAAAAATATCCTGTATCTTTCGCCTCCCCTGGATTTAAAGATTTATCGGCTGGTAGAAGGGTACTTCTTTTATTGAGCTGCAGGATATGAAGTGTACATGCTACTGTCTGTGCGTTCTTTACACAACATCACACTCCAAAAACTTAGCATAACCATATTTACCCAAATCTAATAAGATCATGTCTGAATCCCTCTCGGTAGTTGTGATACAATAAAAATAATTTTCATGAAGATCTTATATACTTTGAGTTTAATTTTCAAATCTGTAGTTGTTAGTTTAACAGCCAGTGTCATGGGTGTAACATACACAGGATCACCCTTCTGCCAAGCACCAAACCTAAGGTAGCAATAAAATTACAGCAACTTGTCCCCTTGCCAAAATATTCTGGTGTGCCGCCTGAAAGCCAGAATATCTTGAGTCAGAGCAGGTGTCCATTGCTAGGCAACGGCTTGTTAAACACGTTTCCCAGACCGCATACATAATGGACATTGCCACGCAAGTGAAAAACCAGAACTAGTGAAGTTCCCATAGCAACGAATACACTAGCTAACTAGTGAAGTTCCTACAGGCTACCGGCAGATAGAACGCACAGAACAGAGGAAAATTGAGAAGAGACCAGACCAGAGTGGAGATGAGATCAGAGGCGAATGGAAAAGAGCTGAGAGCAGAAGAAACCAGCTCAGCCAATAACTGGAAGATGACAGACTAGCCAAGTGGCATAGTCTGGAAGATGTTATTTCAGAGTGATTGTAATTGTAATTGTAAACGACTTCTCCAATAAAATCACTTCACCTAATCCAGAACCAATTTATTTCTTGTTGTGTTACCAGGAGACGTGACAATATAATTGTTTTACTAAGGTGCATCCTTCTTCCTGTTTGAAGAGGACATACAGGTTGTTAGTGTGGTAGAAACCTTTTTTTATCGTTTCCATCAAAGAATATTCAAATTAATAACAATGCATGTTATGTCTCCATTTCTTAGACTTCTCCCTGCAGAAAACATATGATGAAGAAGTGTGACAATTCTGGTAAATCATACCTTCTCCTGACCTTGACTAAAACACTAAAAAAATGTTGTTTTATCATCCTAATAGTTTCCAGTCAGAAAATAAAGAAAATGTTATTAAGACTGATTTTTATGACTGAATATATTACATGCCTTATGACATTTTCTCTGCATCATAAGTGAAAGAACTGTAACAGAAGAAATTATGACCATTTAATGTAGTTTGAGTTGTCTGGTTCCAAAATTTCGTCACTCCACAGATCCAGATTCCTCCCCTGAAAAAGGAGACTACACAAATTCACATCTAAATCAATATTATTTTCTGATGTCTACTTTTTCGAGTTTGTTATGCAGCTAAATGTTTGGAGTTAACATTTTGAGTAAGAATATAAGTTAATATTGTCATGTATGAAAGGTTTGTGTGATGAATAGTAATCGATTCTGGATTGGATGATTAGATTTATTGGTACTTCTTTACAATTACAACAGCTCACAATGGCTGCTGAAGACTCGTTTCATTCCTTACTGGACTGCGAATGCCTTCTATTCCACTGTGACTGACTTGGTTCTGATTTATGAATCGGTCACTTCTTCAGCTTCCATTGTCCACAGCTGAACACTCTTACGAATGACAGCTCACTCTCTAGAATGAACTGAAGAAAACTTATAACTTGGGGCAAACTGAATATAAGTCACCATGTCTTACAGTATCTGTTTTTCTGTGTTTATTCATTGCCATGGGAAAGTGCTTACCAAAGCATTCCCCAGCAATGGAGTTCCACATCTGTTTGTTATTGTGGGAATGTATGCTTGGCGAGCTGTTGGCTAGCAATGGTCTTTTGCTATGGTTCCACTATTCTGGCTTTCAGGCATCATATAACAGTATTATTGCGCATCTTAATATACAGTTGGAGGAGATTAAAAAACAACAGTTTTGCAAACAAATAAATAGATTAGTAATGGCTGAACTATATGATTCTTTATCCCCCCTCCCAAAAAAAACCAAGTCTTGTAAAAATATAGCATTTCACTATTGTCCAGTGAGCTAGCCTTGGAAGTATCCCTTGTGCCCCTAAGAGGATTTGGAACCCTTGCTTTATATCTGTAATATTGATGTTTCCTTTTATATACTTCAGATTGTTGTATTGGATATTGTATGGTTGGACCATATATGATGAATGATGCATGACATACAAAAAATTCATGAACTAACTGTGACAGTCTTCTTGCATGGTTCTTCCTTAAGCTTGTAGGATACTGTCACTTCTATTTTTTGTTATCCATAAATATATGTAGCTAACTAGAGAGTAATTTCTGTATCTGGTTCAGGTGCACTTGATATTAAATTAATTGTCTTGGAAGTCCAGTCATGAGTCAGATCAAAATTATATTTTGTTGCAAAGTTTCAATAAGCATTTGTGGTACCACATTTTTTTAAAAAATATATACTTATTCTATTACTTTGAATATAAGATTCACATTTTACACATTTTTCCCATTGAAAAATTTAGGTGTGTCTTGAATTCAAGGAATGTGGACCTTTCTAATTTTTTTCCCCTGAAACCCACAATCAAAAACTGGATACATCTTAAATTCAAGGGTATCTTGTATCTGAAGCAATGTGCTATATATATATATATATATAGGCCGTGCCATAACTCAAGCGGTTAGTCACTGGCTTCCTGCTGTGGCAGCCTGGGTTTGATCCCGGGTCTGGTCAAGTGGGATTTGTGCCGGACAAAGTGGTGCTGGGGCAGGTTTTCTTCGAGTATTTCAGTTCCCCTGCCAATATTCATTCCACCAAATTCTCCATCATCATAATCACCAGGGGCAGGCCACAATAGGCCAATCAGTGACCGCCGTGCCGAGTGGAGCCAGTTTNTTGGACACCCCCCCCCCACTAAGCGAATTAGAAATATGCTGTAAATACATAGCAGTGTTATGTGCATAAACGGCTGTTAGATACACAAGCAGTAACACACATTATTCTAAAATATACCTTAAAAATGTCGATGTCAGTATGTCAGGTACACCAAGACTCAGTCATCAGCTGATAAGTCTGGTATCCCAAACTTCATCATATTGAGGAACTCGCTGTTTATGAGGTAACTAATTAAGCACTATGTCATGAAGACATTTGGGGGAGTGGATGTGTGGATCCATTTTTTTACCTCGGTACCTTCATGCCCAGGCTGCTTTACCCCTGGGAAAGAACCCTTGGCACATATTGAATAGGAGTCTGGGTGGGCTGCAGAGCCAGTCTGGACAATGTGGAGAAGAGAAAATTCTTGACCTTACTATACCTTGAACTCCAACCCCTGGATGGTCCAGCCCATAACCAGTCACTATACCAACTGCACTAATTATTTTGAGTGATGAGTATTCAAACAAGCTACAGTTGAATTATTGCTGTGGTAGGTGTAGGATACTGGCTGTTGGAGGTAGCATGGATTCAGATCCTGACAGGCACTGAAACTTTTCCCTTCAATGCCACATCTAGACTGTGCCCTCCCACAATGTTACTCAATATATGATGGCCCTAAACACATCTTCACCATGTGCTACAGTCTCGAGACCAAAAATATGTGTCACACAGTCAAGTGTACAAGAGTTCTGAAGAGGCCGTCAGATCCTGTCTTCTGTGAGCTGATTGGAGGTCATGATGGACATGCACCATAATGCATAGGGTGGCAAAAAAATTAAAATTTGAAATCTTGGAAGCATTAATTTTTAAAATCAGATTACAATAAAGTGTTGACTTTGGCAAAACTATAAATATTATATGAATAAAAAATATTCACAAAATATGTAAATAAAAAGAAACAATAGATTTTGTTTCATCTTGAAGAGTATTCTTGTGTTATTTTTAAGGGCATGGTGTACCATGTGTGGCATATGTGACCCATGTTAAGCACCACTAATGTACGTGGTGGTCAATTTCCATAAAGTGGAGTCAACACAGATCCCCACCCATGCATCTGTCCAGCAGTTACAAGCACCACAATCTACAGATCATGCATTGTAGGTAGGGTGGAGGGTAAGGTAGTCAATTTTGCCTCCATTACCCATATTGATTCTCTTGTCGACCCTACCATAGGAGTCACAGTGAAAAGCAGGTTTCTGACTATATTTCCAAGAACTAAGAAAGTAATTAAGTTTTATTGCCATTACATTTTCATGAGTGTTTTGTGCAGGTGTAATTTTTTTCTTTGCTTTATTTTACTGAAATTGAAGAGAATGTAAAAATTATGTGGAAATAGTACACTAAATAATATAAATGAAATATGTTGCACCTGTTGTCTCAGTGCACCCTTCACTTATTAATCAATGCAATTGTATTATATTCAAAATTAATTATTTTATATAACTTAGCAATTTTTTTTATAATTCTCCTCTTGTTAATTTGATGGGATATATTTAATAATTAATTGCATGTGAGAACTTACATATTTCGTATATTTAATATAACTAACTGCATGGAGCAGAATCCTTCAGAAGCTGATAGTTGTTCAGCTAGCCAAGAAATTCCTGCTGTTTGTGGAACAGAGTGCATTACAATATTCACTAGAGCCTGCCACCAGTTTCATTCCCAAGGCAAATTAATCCAGACCACATGCTCTTATGCTGTTTCTTAAAAGATCTATGTTAGTATATTCCCATCTGTGTGTAGATCTTCCAAGTGGTCTCTTCCACTAACATTTTCTGACTAATTTCTTTAACTCTTATCTTATGCCTTGTCCATCTTATCCATGATTTAATAATCCTAGTGACAAGAACAAAATTTAAAGCTCCTAATTATCCAGCTTTCTTCAGCCATATATTAGTAACTCCTAGGTCCAGCCTAAAGTAGTCTGTTTTGAAACATGTAAACCATGGGTATGTTTTTCTAGCATACAGAACAGTGGGGAAAATTCCTTACATTTAAATCCATGTTTTACACAGACACAAAAGATACTGAACTGAGCAGTGGTAGGCATTTCTAGACTTGTATTTGCCCTTAATTAAATAAAGGTCTGGGATGGTGCAGTTAGTTTAGCAACGGGTTACAGGCCAGACAACCAAGGAGACAGATTTCCAGCAGGAGGAAAAGAATCATCTCCATAGCGTCCAAGTTTGTTTTGCAGCCCATCCAGCCTCACATGCAATGGGTACCCGGGCATGAAAATGGCGAGGCACCTCCATGTAATCCCGAAGGGACAACTTGGCTTATATAACTTGTGATTGCAGTTTTGATTTGTTACTTCATAAAGCACGTAGTGGCATTAAACAAGATTCGAATTTATTAGAACTTGGAGTGATGAGGCTATAGGAAATGCATCCTGTTATATCTACAGTGGATGGTCAAAGAGATAAACTACTTCAGTGCATTGACCACAATCTGCAAAAAAAGACAGGGCTCATCGTTCTTAGGAATGCAATCCATGTGTTCATTTCTATGGTTCTGTGTCGCAGCGATACGTTGTGTATCTTCAATAGCTCGTTGTCTTCCTCAGGAGTAAAGTAGTTCCAAACTTAATTACAAATTGAATAATGGATTGGCATAAACTTAATTTCATTGAATGGCAAGTGACAGTAACCCTGAAGTTTAGTGTGAAACGATGCAAATAATGCGATGTGTACACTGCCGAGGAAAGCATGGTTTGCATTATCACAGTGTTTGCTACTATGTGTTAATCCGCCCTTGTGTGACGCACCGGGAATTTGTGGGTTGTCGGTGGTTTCGCGTGGTGTTAAGGACTAGGTGTTTTGGCTTAATTTCACATCATTTTGAAGAGGTAAGTGCTTTAAACTCTCATTTGAACACAATTTATGAAAGCTGTATAATTTACTAGGTATATAGCATTATACTTTCATTATACTTATAAGTAATTTGGTCTGGTGTACGTTTGATCGATCCAGTCAAGAATGTTGATTGGAGTCGTCGTTGAGATATCTAGAGTGCTATTTGTGCCGTGGCGTTTATTAAACATATATTACGCGCTATTCCATAAGTAATTAAATATTTAATGGGATAACCAAACTTACAGGAGACCTAGGTAAAGATTTCTAGGTCTACTACGTTATGGCGGAAAACGCCATTCCATGGTTCTTCGATCATTGCAATACGATATCCGCGCATAAGAATAGTAAAACCTTTATTTCCTGAGTAAAAAGTGAACTGATGAGTGTGCGTTAAATTTTTAAATATGGAATATATGATGTCTGAGTGATCAAAATAAAAGCTATATAAGTAGGTTTATTGCACTGGTGCGTGGGAAATCTGTGAACCTTGAAGTTGGACCTTGTTTCCTTTGATCTTTTTGCGAGGCGTCTCGTATGTTTGGTATATGATGAGTTGAATAAGGTGTTTGAAGAAGTAAAGTGGTGTGTTTGGATTTAGATGAAGGAAGGAGTCGACTTTGTATTATTTGCGATTTTTTTTTTGCAGAAAAGTGCTGTTTTGAATGTATTTTCCTCCTCGGTGTACAGTGAATACAGCAGTAGGCCCAGTCGAGGGCAGGTGGTACATTGTGTGTACAATTCGAAGTTGATAAAACTTGTTAGCTAAGATGATGAAGTCTTGGTTGAATCTAGTTTAGACAGCCCTTGTAGGATCAGCGCCTTACCGCAAAAGAGTTCCCCATCCCCTGACCAGTGGTGGGATGAAGTAGTTGTGTTTATGGTTAGAGGTGGTTAGCATTGATTGCAAAATGTGATGATGGTATATGATGAAACTTGCGTATTTTGGTTGGTGCCGACAGGAAAAAAAATAAATGCCAGCCTTTAAAGCTGCAGAGAGTGTTGAAAGAATGCTGGTGGTGGTTTGAGAACCAGTGTTTAGAAAAATGAGGAACATTTTCAGGTGTCAATATTTAATTTTAAAATGTACCCCAGATGGTTTTCAAGCATAATTACTTTCCACATGTGCATGTTCATGACACTCCGTATGCCCAGCTGATAACTCTACTTCTTGCCATGCATGCTATGTAGCATATCTCTTGTTACCTGCTCAGCAGTATCACTTATTGATATCAAATGATCCGTGTCATGAATTTTGGCCATATAAATTAAGTTTTTTATGTAGCCCCAAAAGAAAATCAAGGCTCTTAGTTGGCCACACAATTGGGCTGCCCTTATCAATCTGTCTTCCTTAAAATTGTGCACTGAGAACTTCTGTAGTATCTCTTGAGAAGTGTGATAGTTTTGTGTGTTTGGATACAACACCTGAAATCGTATCATTATTTTTTGTATACAATGTATTTTTGAAAGTGTGAAACACATTGGAGGGTGTGTTATCCATGAGTTAAGATTTTGGGATAATATTGTCAAATTATGAGTAGGAAGGAACTGGTGGCCGGAAGTCAGAAACTGGGGAACTGTGGTGACTTCCCTCTCTGTCCCCTTTTTCCATCACATGGGCCTCTTATGTAGCTAACCTCAGCAGTCCACTCATCCATTACCTATGGGCTCAGACTTCAGTTATGTAGTTTTAGATAAACTGTAATAACAGCAGATGATGTAACTATTTGAATGTCACATATAATGAAGCATGCTGATAAAATCAGAATGTAAACCAATATCTTGTCCTGAAGAGTTCTGTCTTCTGTGATATAATGCAGTGAAGTTAGGCATTGAATTTCAGTCGACTGAAAAATGTCATATCTCAGAAGATAGAACTTTTTGTAACCACTGCTGTGAGAACCTGAAATCCTACACAATATGTTTTTTTTATGCAGAAAGGTTTTCACAGAAGTGCGTGATTCTGAAGTTACCTGATATTAATCTTCAGTCTTTTAGATCACTTCAGTCCTGAAATCTCAATTTCATGCTAGAAATGGTTGTTACCCCTTCAGCCATCTTTTCAGCTCAACTGATGGTCATGGAAATTGTTGTTACATTTGGAGGGGAGAGAGAGAGAGAAAATGAGGCAGTGACCATGCAAAGGATGGGGATGCACTGTGTGAATTTTAAGTTCAAAACATGCCAAATGCTGGGTTTGTCCTTTCATCTTTAGGGATTTTATGCACAGGGATGTTTACTTCCCTAATGGGGTGTCTGATCAGAAGTGTGTGTTTTCAATCTGCAGTCTTCGTTAGGATTATATGTTTGTTGGAATTAGAAGTTTGGAGATTGGTGTAAAGGTTTTCTTTTTCTGTTGCATAGTGTTGTACTGTGTTTGAACAACAAAGTGTGTGATATCTAAAGATTTGTTTGATTACAACCTACATGTGGTTTTAATAAATGTAAAGCTAACGTTCCCATGCAATGATGATTTATAAGATGTGTGGAAGTAAAGCCCCATGTATTTTTAACCTCATTAGATGGAGTGTTAGAAACTGTCATATAAATAAATGTTCATCTTCTGGCTGTTGGAGCCTTTCACATTTGATTATGAATAATTAACTCCATGGAGCACAGTCATTTGTGAGAAGCTTAAAGTCACTCGGCTACTCCAGAAATTCCCCAAGATTCATTATCATGTTCAGGAGCCCACCACCAAACCATCCCGAACTCCCCAATCCAAGTCTGCATTTCATTACCCTAACAATAATTTGTGACTACAAATTCTGATACTCTTCAGTTGGGTTTTCTGTAGTTTATAGATATTTCTCTCTCCAAGGTCCCAGAATTTTTTAATCCTGTTCTCCAGACACTGTGACTGTTCTTTCCTTAGGGAGAGGAAACCAAGTTTTATAAATGCCCTTCATTTAGTTGTCATGTGTATTACCACCCAAAGGGCCACATACAGCCATTGGAGGTGGTGTCAATGGAAGTGGAGAAGTTGACATATAAGTCTCCATTAAAAATTCGGGGATGTTCTTAAAACAAGGAAAAACTGATCTTATAATTTTGTGCCCTGTTTGTGAAGCTTACAGATATTACAGTATACTCTTACACAGACTGTCCTTTAATTTTATCCTGGTGATGGTCAGTAACATAGTGGAACTGCCTGTGTCTTGTGGAATAAAGTTTGTGTGAAAGTATATCGTAATCATTTCTAAGTGAAGGATGACTTGTGGAGTTATCTTGTTATAGAGAAATGATAAAGCCATAGATGAAAGATTTTATGTTGTATAAATTTAGTTTGCCAGTCACTTTCTTTAATTCATCAGAATTGATTTTGTACCAACTTCTTCTATATTGATCTCATCATTTACTGAGCTAGTTTGTATAGATGTCTAGATAAGAGCATTCAAGGAAGTATCGTTATTAAGTCCCTGAGGGTTGTAATAAGGACTTGCAGTCTTAGGTTGGGTAGTCTGAATGGTTACCACCTGTGTGGTCTGGTGGTCAGAGTTCTTGGTCACAGATCCAAAGGTCCAGGGTTCGATTCCCAGCTCTGCCAGATTTTCTGAGAAGTAATGGGTCTGGAACAGGGTCCACTCAGCCTCGTGAGGATAATTGAGTATCTTCAAGGAAATAGCGGCTCCGGTCTGGAAAACAGAAATTAACGACCATGGGGATCCGTTGCCCTGACCACGTGAGATCCTCTGTGTGCAAAAGTTGGCACTAACTCGCCAACAAGCAGAGGTCGCTTGGTCGGTATAGTTCGCTTGCGGACTCAAGCCATGGAGTTTAGTTTAGTTTATTTAGTCTGAATGGTTATGTTACAGAGTAAAATAATAAGGATGAAAATGTTTCTTTGGTGAGAAGGTGTTGACAGTTGCCAGGTTGTAAAATAGCAGCTGGAGAAATAAAGTGTACTATGAATGTTGCATTGTAGAGGAAAAGTCTGGCAAGAATAGCAATGAAAAATGAAGGGATCTAGAATCAGGTGTTACATTATTGGTAAATGCATTTAAGAGTCAGCTTCTCCATATGGTGAAAACAGTCAACAGAAAATAACTTGTAATTTTTTTTCTTTCAGGATTTTGAATTGTAAATCGGTTCGTTTATATTTTGCATCATGCCTGGCTTTAGCAGTGTAGGCACATTCAAGATCTTCATTGGCAATTTGGCTGACAAGACAACAACTGCTGACATTAAACCATTGTTTGAAAAATATGGAAAGGTTGTGGAATGTGATGTTGTTAAAAATTACGGGTTTGTTGTAAGTAGTTCATCTGTATAATCTGTGATTTTATAGTTTATACTCTATGTGTATACTGTTAATGATTTTTCATGAAAGCAGTTAATTGAATTTTTGCAGAATCTGGGGATGTTTCCAAATGATGTGAGGTTTGGTACAGAGTGTTCTGCACTGATTTAAAAAAAATATATTTTCCAAATAATTTGTAAGATAGTGTAAGAACTTGCTCCCAGCTCTTTAAATATTGTATTACTTCAGATATAAGATGCCCTCAAATTTAAGATGCATCCAGTTTTTGAATGTGGGCTTTAGGAAGAAAATTACAAAGGTACACATTCCTCGAATTCAAGATCTCAGTTTTTCAGTAGGAAAAAATGTGTAAATTGTGCATCTCTATATATTTGAAGCAATACAGTGTTAATTAAATGTATGTGAATTCCATGTTACTGTAGGCACTGAAATATTCACCAAGCAAAAGGCGAATGAATGATTTAAGACTGTTAAGTTTTCCATTTTTTTTAAGACCCAGTTGCTACTAAATGAAGCAGAGTGCAGCAACCTCTGGACCATAGATGTGTTCCAGAGCATGTGGCCTTAATCTTCGATTGCTAATAGCTTTATGAAAGCAGAATATGTAAGACATAGTTGAGAAATATATTTAATATCCTTATGAGAGGCATAAAGTGGGCACGCGGTAGCGAAGTTGGTTGAGGGGCTATGCTACAAGCCGGAACGTCGCGGGCTCAAGTCCCGATGAGGTCATTGGATTTTTTCAGTTGACCTAATCCTTCCAACTGCACTAGTACCTGGGTTTTACTCAGCCTCTGACAGAAATGAGTACCAGGAATTAATTACATTTTCCTGGGGAGTAAAGCGTGGCCGGCCTGTAAGGCTGACAACCTTACCGCCATATTTGAGCCGATTGTCTAGATAGTGTGGTACCCTCAACGTGTCACAACCCTATGGGCCTTCATGGCCTGGTACAGGGATAGCTTTACTTTAGTTTTACTTACAACAGGCATAAAATGCCGTGTAATTGTGGCCGTCTCTGATATGACTAGAAGCTGAACTAAAACAAGTTTTTAATACTTCATGACAATCAAGTGTTGTTACTCTTTTACGTATTCCTAATAACCTGTTTTTTAATCAGCAGTATGCTGTGACCTGTTTGTTTCCTGTCAACTTCAGCAGCTTGTTCATGTCAAATATTTGAACCTCATTTTTGTAAAGTATTTTTATGTTTGAAGGGATACATAGTAGTGCAGTTGCTTGAGGTACCATGCTACAAGCTGGAAGGTCATGGGTTCAATTCCCATTGAGGTCATTGGATTTTTCAATTGACCTAATCCTTCCAGCCGCACTATGGCCCTGGGGTCGACTCAGTCTCTAACAGAAATAAGTACCAGGAATCTTCCTGGGGTTAAAGAATTGCTGGTGTGTAAGGCTGAAAAACTCAGTCGTCTGTGAGCCGATTGTCTAGAACACTGTTTCTCAATCACTGTGCCATGGCTCGGTACCAGGCCCTGGCATCAATTATACCGGGCCCTCATCTTATAAAAAATAATTTACAGTGCTGTGTTCTCACAAATGTTAAGAACCACTGGTCTGGAAAATGTGGGAACTTCAATGTGTCACAGCCCAGTGGGCTTCCACAGGCTGTTACAGGGATAGCTTTACTTTCTTAATGTTTGAACATTTACAGATACCATTGCTTTTAAGTGACATAAAACTTTTTGAGGATTGCTATCATATGGGGTGTATTGCTGTTTAGTATGGTAAAAGTTTACTGGTGGTTTGGAGGAGTGTACTGCATCTGAAAAGATTGTAAACTTGTACCTGACTTTGTGGAGTGACATCCCGGAAAATGGTATCATATTAGCATTGTGTAAACCTCATATCTCACAGAAAACTGCTTGCTGAGTTTATTTAGCTTAACACTTATGTATCTGTAAATTGTAATTTCATTCCCATTACTAAATGTGATATAGCAAAAAAGTTGCTAAAGGACAAAGCTTCAGAAAAGGGCAGATGAGTTTGGATACTTTAGTGAATCCAGTTATATCAGAATTAATTTTACCACCAGTTTTCTTTCTGTGTTGAAAGTGCTGATATACCCTGTTTGCACTAAACCTTTTAGTCACATGCCAAAAATCATGTCAGTCGTGAATGAGAAATACAAGTGAAGGTCTGTATATTCTGTTGTACTGTATTAAACTTGGACCGAAATGTGAATGCTTGAGTTTGAAGGTTACATGTGGTCTCCACAGTACAAAAACTGAAGAAAGCAATTACCAGTCATCTTCACCATCCCAGCTGCAAATAAGAATACAGATATTTCAGGAAATGTGTATGACCTCTTGTAGAGGGAGAAAATCAATTTTAAATTCATCCATTACAGAAACCAAAAATATATACATAAAGATGCAATTATGTTCTTTTAGTGTGCGTATGGTGAGGAAATTGTTTTTTCTTGTTTCTGGCAAGGAGCATCAAGCAGTAATGGGAGTGTTGTTTTGCCAGTAGGAAAAATCGTGAAGATTATTGTAGAATATAGATTGACTTTTTATGTTATTAAAATTCTTGTTTCTTGATTTGGTGTTATATAAATTTTAACTTCCAGCATATGGAACATGAAGAGGCTGGTAGAGATGCCATTCAGAATCTGAATGGTTATTTGGTCCATAACCAAGCCATCAAAGTTGAGGCTGCTACAAGTCGCAAGGGTCCCCAGACTCCTACAACAAAGATTTTTGTAGGAAATCTGACTGATAATACAAAAGCTCCTCAAGTGCGTGCGCTCTTTGCCAAATATGGCACAGTTCTGGAATGTGACATAGTCAGGAATTATGGTTTTGTGGTGAGTATTCCGAGTGCCAGAGTTACAGTATACTCTCGATTGTCCAGTTCGTTGTATTTCCATTCTCCCATATAGGTGTGTTGACAGCCCTGCAGAGTGCCTTCTAAGTTGACTCATTGCGTCTTAATGCATGTACTGACTCAAAAACTACTGGATAAATTGTCGTGAAAATAGATATTGAAGAATTTTGTGGAGAATTGTCAAGCCATTTCATTTTTAATTTATGTTGGATGAATGTAATGGCTACTTTACAGTAAGATGTACACATGTTCCTGCACGTAGTCTTGAGAGTAATGTGCTAAATATTTCATTGGAGTGAAAACCTTTTGAACAGAAATGTTAAAAGTGGATGCATTTTGTGTTCAGTCCTCTGTTTCTACAGGTTTTGTAGCTAATTGAATAAGTTGGATATAGTACATTTCAAAATTTTTATATTCAACAATCACCATGGGGTCTCCTGATCACACACAAAATGGGATTTATTTATTCTTTTCTCATATTCATACATATTTTCCCTTTTTTACTATAGAGTACGCAGTATTTAAATTTCACCGTGAGGTTCTTCAGAATCTACGCTTTAATTTACAGCCATTTCTGAACTTCATATATATATATGGCATGAAGAAAATGCCCCTCTCCTCAGTCTTAAAAGCAAAAGATTATGTATGTATGTATGATTTGAGATGTTGTGACACATGGTAATGTGAGCCCTTATTGTGTGAGAGGCCACTGCACTGCCAGCATTTTGGAGTTATATGCTACTTTTTCACCGGGCCATCATAAACAGGACCCACATTTGACAGATTATCATTAACTTCTCATGTGGAGTGATTTTTGCTGGTAAGGTTTCGTTATAAAAGCGCAGTTTACAGTTATGCTGTTGGGTGTCTGATGTTCAGCTTCTTTTCTCAACAGCATATTGAGTCAAGTGATGCAGTGAATGATGCAATAAAGGAGTTGAATGGTTTTGTTGTTGATGGACAGCCAATGAAAGTTCAGGTTTCTACAAGCAGAGTACGTCAGAGACCTGGGATGGGGGATCCAGAACAATGCTACAGGTACAGGAGACTGTAATTCTGAGACGTATCTCTTGACAGTTTATGGAAATTTATGAATGTAATGTTAAAAATCCTTACTGAAGTATGAAATTTCTGTATCGAGATTTTCACCCACAGCGTGAATTTAATTTATATTATGTCTTCCCTGTCCCCATCTTAGAAAACTAAACCATTTTCTCCATAATTCAAGATCAGCTTTAGGCATTGGAAAATGTGAGAAGCCAGCAGAAATGTGAAAATTGGCTGCTGTTAAAAAAAGTTTCTGAATTTTGTTCAGATAAGCAGGGAAGGAAGATCAAAACGTTTTTCAAATGTCAAGTGCTCTTATAGAGAATAAAGAAGTAAGTCCTTTATTCCTGTTTAGTGTGGGGTCATAATATCTAAAATCATAGTAGTAGTAATGTTGTGGTGTTTAACGTGGTTGTAAATTGCTATAACTGTTGATATTTTAAAATTCTCTACACTGACAGTCCATGTGACCAGTTCTATCAGAAGCATTACATTTTTGTTCATATCATACATTACTCTCCTAAAAACTGCTTTCCTTTTTTGAAGTAGCAAGTTATACATTCTTGCAATGCCAGAATCGCTTACTGATATCTGAGAATGCAAGATAAAGCTATTCCTTTAATAGGCCATGGGTGCAATAAGGTTGTGAGACGTTAAGACTACCACATTTTCTAGACACTCAGCTCAGAGATGGTGGTGAGGTCAGCCTTACATGCTGGCCGCCCCCTTAACCCAAGGAAGATTTTATGTTAGGTACTTAGTTGACCCTATGGCCACAGTGTGTTTGTAAGGATTAGGTCAATTGAAAATGTAGTGATCTCATTGGAAATCAAACCCATGACCTTCTGGCTTGTAGCATAGTGCCTGAAGGAACTACGCTATCCCGTCCCCCTATATCTGAGCATGAATTGAAATGTTTCAGGTTTTGTATGTTGCAGCATGCGCATTTTCATGAACACAATAATTTACTGTTATAGGTGTGGAAGAGGTGGACATTGGTCAAAGGAATGTCCAAAGACAGGGTGAGTACAAATGTTTTCAGGCTGTATTTAGTAATTACTTTTATTTTTGAATTGTGTACAATTTCACACACATCTTTCTAGGTTGGGTCCTGACAGGAATGGGTTTAGGGATCGCATGTTTGGACGTGAGCCATATCCTCCTCCACCACCGCCACCATTCCTCCGTGACCGCATGATGGGAAGATTTGCTGTGAGGGTAAGTTTCTGGAATATGGAACATGTTTGTTGTTCAGTATATTCGTATCCATTAAAAATGGGTTTTGTGTGGGCAATATGGCATTTTTTTGTTTAAGGCATGTTGAAACAGGTAAAAAGGCTCCACTTAAGGGTTAGGGGAACAGTACGTGTTTGAAATATTCATATGCTAAAATGTATTTTATTGTCATACATAAATGTGTTATTGTTTCACAGTAACCAGGATTTAACATGTCACTAAATTGCAGGGGGTTGAAGACAGTATAGAGACACTGAAAGCATTTGGAACCCTTTGGTGCCACTTTGACCATATTGAGGTCAGTTTCCATATTCTTGAGCTGTTCCAAAATTCAATCCTGTATGAAAGTTTCTGTGCCCTCAGAAGCATTACATCCAGTAAATAGGCTGTTCCATGAGTCTGATCAGATTGCCTTGCCATTAAATCTGACCCATGTCTATTTTAAAACTTAAAAATTTTGTAAGGAAAGTTTTGTATTATCTTAGTAGACCTTCAGCATATGATACCGTATGTATGTTGTTATAAGTGGCCATTATTGTATATGTGTATTTCAGAGAATGTTGGTTGCATGTAATACTAGTTTTTTATTGGCAGGATGGTTTCTATGATGGCTATTATGAACGCAGTCGCTTTGATGAATCCCGGGAAATCTTTGATCGTCGCTTCCCACCCCTTCCTCCCCGTGATATTGGACCATCTCTACGAGGACGTGACTTCTTGCCGCCACCTCCCCTTCCTCCCAGGCCTCGTGATCCTCTGCCCCCACCCCCACCATTGGGACTACGTGGCCCATCCAGTTCATTGAGAGATTCGTCATCATTTGATCGTGGCAGTTCAGACTATGGTATATTCAGTCGCCGCTCACCATCTGCTTCGGCAACACCACCAAACAGATTCAGGTGATCATTGCATTAACCATGTTGATTAGATACTGATTAATATCAGGTAATTTGTATGCAGAAATAAGTATTGACATGTTATTATGCTCCAAAGAAGAGTTTTGTATTACTCTGTGCTTGTATAGCAGTAGAGTGATACGCAGAAGTGTTTAGTAATATTGATGTTTACTGTTTTCTAGCCGTCTGTATGAGGATTTCAGCCGCGACAGTTTTGATGACAGGAGGTGAGTTAAGGGTTTGTGGTAACTGTGATACATATGGCTTATTTGGGTAATATATTTACTTTGCATTTACTCCTTTTTACTTTTTCCTCTGGGGTTGAAAGATTACATATTTTTGACACTTTTGGGGAAGAAAATGTTCCTCTGATGCCCATCACGAAACTCTGAAGGATGACAACATTTTTTTATGATGGTGTGCATGTTTTGACTGTGAAGTGGTGTAATGTTTGTGAATGTAAGTAATATGTGTAAAAGTGAATGCTTTTTTAATTGCCCTTACTGCTTTGTACAGTACAACTTTGTTGTAAATAGCACATAATTTTTAACAAATACAAATTTAGATTGGTCGGTTCAAGAAACTGGTTCATCTAGTTATATCAGTGCTAATATTATATCCAGCAAATGGCAGTAGTCAAGTGACCCATTTCATTCCTGGAATTGCTTATATGTGATCATGAAACTTGCACTGATGCTTTCACCGTGTTTGATAATATCTTGTTCAGTTGTACACATCACCCCTTCACTATGCAACCATGATAGGGATGATGAAAAGTAATAATTTACCCCATTTGTGCCAAAAAAATAAGATGTCATTACATCAAACTTCAGAACTTTATAGACTAGTGGCATGATACCATATTTGCTTTAAACTGACTTGCTATAAAGATGTTTTGCAATTCTTCAGCACTTTTGAAAGGCCTTCTTTGTATCAGCATGTTTGACCATGTGCTTAGAAGTGATTCTGGTTGTAATTCAGATGATGCATTAGATTTTCACTAAAATAAAATGGGTGTTTTGCATTATGTAGATGTTTTATTTTGACGGGGAAGCCTCTTGGTATATATCCAGTTAAAGATAATAATAATGCATTAACTTTTACTTACTTATACATCCATATGCTGATCATGTTATACACTGTTATTAAAAATTTTGTTTAATGGAACAGAATTTTGCTCATGTATGTCTTGCAGGCATCTTGAGGGTAGGTTCTCTGTGATTTATTTGTAGTTATTTTACTCACTTTGAAAGGATGGGTTGAAAGAACAGCAAAGTCCTAAAATCATTACAGCTCTTCTTCCTTTGTTGGTCCACAGAACTGTCTAAAGACACTTTAGAAATTTCCCTACTTCATTGGTACTTCTGTAGAAGGAACACTTCCTCAGCCTTGTTACTGTTTTAAGGTTTTAATACAGTGCGTACAATCAAGTGCGCGCCGCGGCTGCAATTTGCCATGAGTCATACCACCGCAGAACGGATGCAACTCCTCCCCGCGACTGCAGTGCTCCTACGCCGATGGTTGCATAATCGGAACCCGAGGTTGCATTAAACAGTCAGTCTTTGTCTTGCTGTGGAAGTGGAGTGGAATGTTTACAGCTGTCGACAGACGGTGGAAATGAAGTTCACTATTAAACAGCGTGTGTTTATTGTCGAAACTATTGCAAGGAAAAACATTTACAGAAAATTCGCACGTAGGTTTCGTCAGAAATATCCTGACTCGCCAGTTCCCACAAAGTCGTGTGTAAACAGGCTTCTGAAAAAG